TCACTTTATAAAGAATGGCACTGGTGTTTTTGAGATACTAGAATTTGGTGTTTTGTATCCTTCCTCAAGGTAATCGTTTTGAACAGTTTTAGAGATCAACGTGTGATTTTTGCTGATGCAGCTGTTATATTTGAAACCGTTCCTTGCACTGTAAAAGACAAAATGGTCTTCAAAGAGTAGAAAATATACTTCCTTGCATTCTTATATCATGGTTAGGAAAAGTAACGATTATGTTCTAGGGTATATCTCAATTTTTTTACGTTGGTATATTGATATGCCTCCAAACACAGTGATTCTACGCTTCTCTTAGGCATATTTCACTCATCATAGAAGTCCTCGTAAATTTACGCTTAAAACTTTATCTCCAACAGTCGCGTATCGATACGACCAACGTGGTCTGGTCGATGAAAAAGTGTAGTGCATGGTGGAGGCTAATATCGTCATCTAAGTCGGATTCGTCATCACAATGAGCATGTGCGCCCGCAGGACTTTCTCTCAGGGGAAGGAGGATGGTCATTTAATTTTCAACTTACAGTGTCAACTTACTTGACGCCACTTTTTGTTCCAGTTGTATAAGGAGCAACTCACGATAGTCGATTTTTCCACATTTTATTGAAATAATTGTTGAAGATGTGCCGGAATCCAAATATTCGAATACCAATTTTGTATTCAAATCCTGCACCGAACTGCTGTTTCGAATACTCTTTTTGGCTATTCTTATAAATATTACGTTACGCTTTACGCAAAGTTATTCTGTTTGTGTGGACAGTGGAGTTTCTGAATGCGAGATGCCGACAGGTCGCCTAAGGAACGAGATTAGATTATGTTTGCACTTGTGCTTGTGCAGTATAGCCGTTGTATTTCATAACAAATTTTAGTACCTGTTATAATTTGTGTGTGACACCAGATAAAGTAGATATACGAGTATAAAAAGGTAAGTTTATATTTTAATTATGTAGTAACATTGTGTGAGATACTTTGTTCTATTAATTTTCTATAATCTGTAATAAAAATCAATTAATGTTTTTTTATTATACAATTAATTTGTCTAACATCACTGTGACACGATATAATAAAATTTTATATTAGGTTTTATTTAATATAATATTTATTTTTAATTATTTTATGTATTTTTATTAGTACATAAATAAAAATGTTTTATTGGAATATTCATATTTAAATAAATCCCGGTATTCGAATAGATATTTCCTTAGTATTCGAATCTTGTGTATTTACAGTCACAATTTAAAATGCAGTATTCAAGATTCGTATTCGAATACAGGATTTCACTATTCGACTCCAAGTCTGGTAATAATGATAAATATAAACAGCAGTTGTGTTTACCAGTAGTAGCAATGGATTAACTGTCAATTATATCTGGTTTTCATAGTAAAAAAATTCAAGTTAAGCCTTAAGTCAACCCATTTTCCATATCCCATATATACCTTTTGCTGGTCCTTTGAAAGAAACCTCTAAATACGAGTAATTCTGCGATATGCCTTCTCGCGTGACGATTTTTTCGATTATACGAAGTACCTAAATTATTCGGTTAAATTAGGTAATTAATTTATTAAACTAATTAGCCTGAAAATAGCGAACGATATTCCTGTTTTATTAAACTGGTATTCACGTACATTTAAAAACATTTAAACATTTTAATAAAAACAGTGAAACTGTTTAATTGAAACGCGTAGTCGGCAGGACTCGGCTTTGCATTCATGAATGATAGAGAGTATGCGATGGGCGCAGTGCCGGTGACACGCTCCGAACTCCTCAGTTTCATTTCTGATTTATTTGCTCGTCGAGCTGCATATTCGGTGTAGTAGCTGTGAAATGGATTAAGTATGGTGACCAAGTGAGATACTCGAGCATAAGGCGCTCAGTAACCGATAACCATGGTTCGAATTTTTCTCGCTCTGGTCTTCGATGCATACTTTTTTTTGTTTTGATGTTCAACGATAAAATAGTGTTGCATAGGTGGTGCATCACCATTAATGCAATACTTTGATTAATCGTTCTGATATATTCAGTGTGTATATGATATACCGTATATGTAGAAAGTGGAGCCTCCTGTTGGTGCAAACTTTGTAGTATTTGAAAATATCCTAGTTTGTTTAAAGTGATGTCGATTTTTTTATATATGTAAATGCGTTAAATGCGTGTGAGTGCAATGTTGCCTCATTATCAGAAATAAAAGTACAATTTTTGTAAACATGACCAATTGGACTTATTCAGTTTCATGTATCTCTTCCTCTACTATCTAAATTTAAAACAAACAGACGAATAGTTGGTAAAACTTGCTCCCAAATATAATCACAATCAAAGAAAATAAAACATATCGAATTTTGTTAGGGTTATAAAATTTGGAAGTTTTTATTTTGATTTGAAGACAACAACTATAACTACCAAATTCTCCAAATTTTTTGATATATAAGATTTGTTAGATAACAGTTATAATATAATATATCATTGAGTAAAGTGCAATTTATTTTTTGAATTCCAAATATTATCCAAATATCCTTTTAAATTGCTTCTAGTGGTGATACGTTACACATGTGTTTCTAGACCATCAGACAAATATAATTGGTAAAACCTGATCCCTTATACGAGCCCCTTCCCACTTCAGTTGGCCCACTTCAAGATTTGTAACAAAATATGCCTTTATAAACTAAACATGACGAAACTATTTACTTCTAAGACAATTTATTTTCTCAAAAACATTTTAGATACACTCTAGTCCTAAAAATACATATTTGAAATCACTTAGACCTATAACTAATAGAACATCTGAACAAATAAACAATGTGCGAATAAATACGCGAAGTGAACAAAGCAACAATTGAAAGATTACCATTGGGTAACATCACCTTTATTTTTTATTACGGCTGAAATTTTTTGGGGCATAGTGTTAACCAAGTTTTGGCTAAAATTTGGCGTAAAACAAATCCATATTTCTTTTGTCTCAGTTCGGTGATTGTACGAGCAGGATGTTGTAGAACCTTTTTCATCTCGTGCCACAAAGTTTCAATAGGTGACAGATCTGGACTGATAGACACCCATTTCAAAGTGGTACATTATTTTCTTCCATCCATTTTATAGCCTTTTTTGAGGTAAGGCACGCTGCACCATCTTGCTGAAACACAAAATCTTGGCCGGATGTCAAACATTCTTCCATCACTGATAAAAGCGATTCTTCTAAAATTGCCAAATATTTGTTCGTATCCACATTTCCATCAATAAAATGAAGTTTTCCTACTCCTTTTGATGACATACTGCCCCAGACCATAATGGATGCTGGAAATTTCACTTTTCTCTTCAGACAGTCAACATGGAATGCTTCATTTTTTTGCGAATAACTCTACTGCGACTGTCACCAACACAAACTTCGAATTGGGCCTCATCACTCCATTGTATTGCACACCATTGTTGAGGTGTCCATTGTCTATGTTCTTTAGCCCATCTAAGCCGATTTTTCTTTTGCAGTGGAGTTAATAGTGGCTTTTCTTTGCCCTATAAACAAGTTGTGCAACTTTAGGGTTTTTACTTTACTTTTTTTTATAAGAAAACTTACCTTGCAAGTGCTAAATCCCAGTTTGTGGGTCTCTCTATGAGTTGTGGACCTCGAAATTCTCCTTCCAACAGCGTTACTACACAGAGCACTTAATTGTAAATAATTGGCACGCCTGTTTTTCACGATTATTCTTCTTAATGCTCTTCGGTCGGCATTTGTGATATTACTTTTTTTCACATATCGTGGCTTAATAATAACTGAACCAAATACGTTATATCTTCTAACAATATTTCTCACACTGTACCGCGATAAGTCTAACAAAGTTGCAATTTCTGAGTTTGATTTCCCAGAATTAAAAAATGTAATTATCAGTAACCGAATTTTCTCACTAATAACCCTTCCTCTTCCCATTTTGAAAACCTTAACTACCCAAAACTATTTTAAACGTATTCTGACAGCTGTGATTAATAAAAACAATTGTCATGGCTTTTATTTTTCACAGCCACCTATGCGTTATAGACTTATTTTACATTGAAATGAAAATAGGTTGATATGCTGTAATTGCAACATGTGTTGTTTTTATGCTGCAAATTGGATTAGGGAGTGATACAGTTGGTGTTTTCTACTATATATTATCAAAATATTAATTGTTAATATTTTAAACCTATAACAACCTGCTACATTTTTATTATTTGTGTTTGATAACAAAAAAACTAAGATTTCAATAGTTGGGCCAACTGAAGTGGGAAGGGGCTCGTATAATAAGTTCACTATCAATGAATATAAAAAATATCGAATTTTGTTAAGGTTACACGGTTTGGATGTTTTTATTTCGATTTCAAAATATCAAGTTATCCAAATTTTTTGACATCTTAGATTTATCAGATCACGGTTATAATACATATCATCCAGTAAAATACAATTTGTTGTTTTAAATTACAAATAATATTCAAATGTTCTTTTATTATATCTAAATAAAATAATTCATTGAACATGGCCAAATACCGTTACCTCCATTAATTAAACAAATTTAATAAATATAATAGAATTGTTTTACTTGGAGTAGATAAAAAATCGCATTTTAAGCATAAATTATTATATTAAAAAATTGATGTATTCAATATAAGTAAACGGTTTAATATATTTAATTGAACTATTGCGTTTTGATTCAATTAAACTAGTTTCATAGATTCAAATACACTGTTTTAGGAATCGGAGTTTAATCAAACCAATTAAACATGTTAGCTGTTAATTTTTTTAGTTTGCCCAATTAAAACTTTAATTGATTTAATTAATTTTTTTCATTGTGATTATTGCCTAACTCTTTGTAGAAACCACAAACTTCTGCTCCTGTGTACCTCGTGCAACTTCGGCTCATGTGTAAACAAGATTTTCAAAATCCATAGAAAATGATTCCAATTACTGCAGAGGACAGCGGTTTTGAGCCTTTCGTCTTGCGTGCTTTTGGACAATGAGTGTTTCAACTTACCTTGAGTTGGGGAATGTGCAGAAGATTTGAGATTGTACTCCGACCTAGCTCTGTACAAAGTGCTAACAGGCGACCCTGCGTCATCCATCGAACGAATATCCAGACAGGAAGCGTCTACGCTTTTCGTTTTCCGGAGTTGTGAGTTCATGCTCATGGAGTCCTCGTCGAAATTGCCACTCCGGGGGTTCGAGTACACGTCGTCTCCGGTGCCTCCGCCGCCGTCTTGCCAGGATGTCATTTGCTGAACGAAAAGAAAATCGATTTCGAATAAATGGTTATTTGAGATGAGAAACTTTTTTCACTTCCGAAGGAAGTTCGCGCACGGGAGTTATTGGAAAATCTCTTAGTTCTCGTCCAAATCATTTTGTAACAAGATAGCAACGAAGTTCTTTAGATGTTAAGCTGATATTGTAGTTTTAGAACCGATTGTGTGCTTTCGGCCCGATTTTACTATTGACCGACGGGAATCAAAATTTGCGCCTTTGGCACAAATTGGACCAACGAGAAGGCGTCTATGAAGTAATGGATCTAATGAATTTGGTCGATTTCTTGTAAAATGTCTCATAAACTAGAGATCAATGATACGATTTGTGTAAGATGGGTTCCTAATTCTCGTATTATATGAAGAAATACTTCATATACCGTATGATTCAGCAACAAAAACCTATTTTTCATTTGTGTTCGGATACATAAGTTGTCGCAAATTCCATCAGTCAAAAAGAAGGATTTGTGGACTACTCGATATATGGATCAAACCTGATATAATAGATTAACAGGATGCCATCACTCAGCACTCCATTGAAAATAACAGTGTCTCACTATTGCTGTAAAAATTCTGCTTAGTACGTTATATTAAGACACAAATTAATGACAGAATCCTTGTTCTTTGACAAGCATCTAGTAAATAATCAATTTATTTGACTACCGTGCGAAAAACCCTGTTCCTGAAGCCAGCCCTGTTACGGTTAACAGGGAGATGTCGCGCCCTCTACTGGACGGTATGACGACTTCACGACCACGTCGCGTCGCGGTGACGGAAGCACGGCTTGAAGTAGTTACGGAGGTCGCCTTATTGTATTTAGAATGACGTCACGTTGCTTATTATGTTTGTCTTATGAAGCCGTTGGCTATAGAAATTATAGATCACCTTTTTGCGGCGGTCGCCATATTGGACTTAGAGTGCTTTGCCCATTGTGTTTTTCCCGCCTAGCCTGTTCATTTGATATCAATATTTTTTTGATTGGATATGGAAATTATAGATCGTCATTTTGTGGCAGTTGCCATATTGGATTAAGCATGAAGTCACGCTGCTTATTGCGTTCCTCACATCAAGCCCTTTCATTTGATGCTCATATCATAGGGATGAATATGGAAGTCATAAATCGTCATTTAGCGGCGGCCGCCATATTGGATTTAGAATGACGTCACGTTTGTTTATCTTATGAAGCCCTTTCATTTGATATCCATAGGAGTTACTACAGAATTGATAGGCCACCATTTTAACGCATCCGCTATATTGGATTCAAAATGGCGACAGAAAGTTTTTTATGTGTTATTTCGAGAAAAAATACAAAATTTTAGCTCATATGGTTAACACTAACTGATGCAAAAAACTGTTACAAGATTTGACCCGCATTAATCAATAGGCCAAGTTAAATAAAAACTTGAAACCTCACGGACGCGAACAGCTCTATCCACCACAGGCTCAAATATAAAATGGTTTTGTAAAGCAAAAAACTTGAGCTTTACTCCTTAAAAATAGTTGGATTAAAACTTTTTGACGATTGTTCTGGTACTTTCCAGTAATTATGAGCTTTGACCGATATTCTGAACTCCAGGTCAGCCAAAACCACTTCCAAGTAAGAACTTCGGTCAAAACCACTGTTGACTGCAAAAATCAGTAAAAATTGGTTTTACCGAGAGCATCGTTCAAAATCACTTGTGACCGATTTTTGCGGTCAAAATTGGTTTAGGCCGGTTACGAGTTTTGACTGCAACATATTTATACTCACGAAAATACACCTTTTTCTATTTCTTTCGCCATTTGGTCACCACTGATATCTATTTGGTGCTACCCATCCCCAGGCGAACTTTTTATGGTAAAGTGGTATTGATTGCTTTTTCAAGATGTCATCTACTGAACGAAAAGAAAGTCGACGAAGTAGGAAGTAACAAACTTTTTCGAGTAACGGGGAAGTCGATGAGCGGAAGTTAAGCTGCAAGGCTATCGGAGGGTCTCCTGTGCCATTATATGACTCAAGTTCCCGATCATTTTCGTCTTTCCCTAGTTTATAACGATTTCTTTTTAATTGGTTTTCAGGCGAGCTGATCACCTAAATATTAGAGCAGTTCCTTCATTTGTTCTTGTACCCCATGTCCTAACCCAATTTTATCATCCCTGTAATATTGCAGTCCTGTAATAATTCCCCTTATTTTCAAACATCTTTATCCAAACTCCGCGCTTCTTTCAAATGCTTTTTTATTTACACATAAGTAATTGTACTTTCGTACATCTACAGTAGGGGTATGTTGGGCCAATATAGCACCGCTGTAACTTACATACGTCTGGGCCTATCGGAGCATCATTTCATTATTTCATGTATTACAGAGTATCTCCGATTTTTAATTTTTGAGGTGTAGATTTTTTGAGTCGTTACGTCTTTAGTATCTCTCAAAGTTGTATCATTAAATGATAAAAGTCCGATGTATAATGTGCTCATAATTCGAAATAACTTGTAATCGCTGGCGTTGCGTGCGCGGCACGATGCTGCAACGTCGTGAAGGCTACTGCCGACAGTAGCAAACGCAATAGGTAACAACTCGAACTGGTGTACTGCGGCGATGTAGACACGGGCATACCTCTACACCGGTACAGGGGAATATTTATATATTTTGGGTTATAGGAGTACGTGCCACTTTAGCGTTCTGCGATGCTTTTGTAAATGGTGACTTTTAATATTTTTTTTTAAGTTGATTTAAAACAGACACCGATTGACAAATCGACATAAATGAGAAACACGAACTTGTGTGAAGCAGATTTATTTAAGTAACAGACGAATTATGAACCGAAAAATGAATATTATCCCAAATTCAATACTTCCATCGTTTAGGTAGTTGTATATTTTGAAAATTGGTTCAGTAGCGGCGGAACTACTGAAAAAAAAATAGCAATCGCTAGACCATGTGTGCTACAACGTGTCAGAGATTCCTGCTCAGTTTCAGACGTTGTTTGGAGAGATTGAGTATTGTAGGTTGCAAGCTGTTTGCGGTAAATGGTTGTAATTTGTTGAATGTTTGGTGTCAGTCAAAAACCTATTATTAAGATGCTGCTTATCCCGGTAATGTTATGCACCTATTAGACATAATGAATCACACATGTTTACTCTTCAACTGCCAGAAGTAAGATATATTTATTTTACATAGCTTGACAGGTAGAGGTCGAAGATTATATTCCGCCTTTAGAATCGACTTGACTCATCCCTTTTCTTTGAAACCTCCAACGAATGCATAGGAGAGTGAATCTACTCGACGCCAATTTTTATAGATTTCGCGAGTTCAACTCTGGGTCAAATAAAGTTCGACAACACTGTCGCGCTACGGACCATTTACCGTACGAAAAGAATATCGATTTCGAATAAACGCTTATTTGGGATACAGTAAGTAAGACCTTTTTTAGCGAGATTGAATCTCAGATAAACAAGCTTCAGCAGGAAAGATCTTTTTTTGCCAACTGACTCTCGTCTGTGCGCTACAAGGACCCCCATAAGACAGATAGAAATGATATAGAATGAAGCGTATAAGCTGAGTCGCAGTAACTAAACCTTGTTCTAATTATTAGGGATCGACCGATACCGATATCTAAATCGGCAATATCGGCCTATTTGCCGATATACGAAGACTATCCATATGCAGATTTAGGCCGACCGATACAAATTCAAACGTTAATAAGAATCAGAATATCGAATTGAGTAAGAAACAGTATGTAAATATATTCGCATTAGTTGATGTATTAATATATAATCCTATTTATTCTCTTTTGTGTTACGCCCAATGGCGTAGGAAATATTGTAGTCGCGAAACATTTCGAAAATGAGATACTATGTTTTTTGGATTTTATAGATTATGAAAAGTGGTCCAGTGGCGGCGGAGCTAAAACTTTGGCAGCCTTTTGATTGGAAATTTTATCGAAATAATTCCATACGGTCTTTAGCTCTAACATCAAAATACAATGATAATAATGATAATAATAGTAACCACCTTATTCATGGGTACATGTAAGAGACACACTTTTTGGTCGGCTGCTCAGGCATTTACATGGGGGAGAAAGTATGTAAATGGTGATCCAGGTTTCATTACATTCCGGAAACTTAAATTTATAACGATTGCCAAGAGTTTCATTCCATAATGCTTACCCCAAGCCTACTGCTGAAAAGGCTTTCCCCAGACTTTGGTAAAGTTTCCCGTGTTTTCGCAACTTCAGACCACTGATCGATATTCTTCGAAAAAGCCTCCATTCCATAGGTATAATACGATAAGTAATGCTTCGATAAAGAACACTGTCTTTCTAGAACGAATCCATATCTTCTCCTTTCCTGAGTCATTGCCTGGAAGAAAATATAGAAAAATCGACTTAAGCAAGAATATAAAAAAAACACACACATATTTTGACAATAGTCAATAGATAATTTGAAGTTATTGTAATATAGACTTATGTACGAGCCGCTTCCCACTTCAGTTGGCTCAACTATTGAAATCTTTGTTTTTTCTTATCAAACACAAATAACAAAAATGTAGCAGGGTGTTATAGGTTCAAAATATTAACAATGAATATTTTGATAATATATAGTAGAAAACACCAACTTTATCACTCCCTAGTCAAATTTGCAGCATAAAAATAACACATGTTGCAATTACAGCATATCAACCTATTTTCATTTCAATGCAAAATAAGTCTATAACGCATAGGTGGCTGTGAAAAATAAATGCCATGACAATTGTTTTTATTAATCACAGCTGTCAGAATACGTTTAAAATAGTTTTGGATAGTTAAGGTTTTCAAAATGGGTAGAGGAAAGGTTATTAGTGAGAAAATTCGGTTACTGGTAATTAAATTTTTTAATTCTGGGAAATCAAACTCAGAAATTGCAACTTTGTTAGACTTATCGCGGAACAGTGTGAGAAATATTGTTAGAAGATATAACGTAACTGGTAAATAAAAAGTAGTATCACAAATGCCGACCGAAGAGCATTAAGAAGAATAATCGTGAAAAACAGGCGTGCCAATTATTTACAATTAGGTGCTCTGTGGAGTTACGCTGATGGAAGGAGCATTTCGAGGTCTAGAACTCATAGAGAGGCCCACAAACTGGGATTTAGCACTTGCAAGGTAAGTTTTCTTATAAAAACGTGAAGTAAAAACCCTAAAGTTGCACAACTTGTGTATAGGCCAAAGAAAAGCCACTATTAACTCCACTGCAAAAGAAAAATCGGCTTAGATGGGCTAAAGAACATAGACAATGGACACCTCAACAATGGTGTGCAATACAATGGAGTGATGAGGCCCGATTCGAAGTTTGTGTTGGTGACAGTCGCAGTAGAGTTATTCGCAAAAAAATGAAGCATTCCATGTTGACTGTCTGAAGAGAAAAGTGAAATTTCCAGTATCCATTATGGTCTGGGGCAGTATATCATCAAAGGAAATAGGAAAACTTCATTTTATTGATAGAAATGTGGATACAAACAAATATTTGTCAATTTTAGAAGAATCGCTTTTACCAGTGATGGAAGAATGTTTGACATCCGGCCAAGATTTTGTGTTTCAGCAAGATGGTGCAGCGTGCCATACCTGCTATAAAATGGATGGATGAAAATAATGTACCACTTTTGAAATGGGTTTCTAGTAGTCCAGATCTGTCACATATTGAAACTTTGTGGCACGAGATGAAAAAGGTTCTACGACAACATCATGCTCGTAAAATCACCGAACCGAGACAAACTTGGTTAACACTATGCCCCAAAGAATTTCAGCCGTAATAAAAAATAAAGGTGATGTTACCCAATAGTAATCTTTCAATTGTTGCTTTCTTAACTTCGCGCATTTATGCGCACATTGTTTATTTGTTCAGATGTTCTATTAGTTATAGGTCTAAGTGATTTCAAATATGTATTTTTTACGACTAGAGTGTATCTAAAATGTTTTTGAGAAAATAAATTGGTTTAGAAGTAAATAGTTTCGTCATGTTTAGTTTAGAAAAGCATATTTTGGTACAAATCTTGAAGTGGGCCAACTGAAGTGGGAAGGGGCTCGTAATATCAATACCTAAACAAACTACGTATCAAATGTATTATTGACTTCTGAAAACAAACTACAAAGGTCTTATTCGGGCTCTAATTCAACAAGCAAATTATGGATTAATATATAGTGAAAAATATTGTAGATACTTACATTTTTTAAGCTCTGTTCATAAAATAGATCTAGTTTGGATTTCTCAATTTCCAACAGCTTCATGTTCTAAAAATAAATAAATTTGAAAATTAACAGAAGTTTCTGATAACCTGCAAACATTTATTAACATCCTAACCTTACAGACACCTCAGATTTAATAGTATTGAACATGAAAGGTTGCGCATCTTGATGCCCAATTTTTAAGATTTTTAGTGGAATGCGTTTGAAATATTGATGTATATTGAAAGAATAACTCATTAATGTTGTACGCATTGTGACTTTCAACTGTTTCTAATTATTTTAATTTCGTTTATTTCAGTAAACTGAGCAAAAAATATTCTGTAAGCTTATGCATTTTATGGCGTCATTGCTGAGATAAGAACTTTCAAGTTTCTTTCTTTTTATGTTGATATTTTAGTTTAAATTATTTGAGTTATATTGATGAAACTATGTGAAACGACCCTATGTTTCAAGAAATTTAATTTATATTGGTTATATTCATTTGAACTATCCTAGAGGTGGCACGATTAAATTTTGACTGAGTATTTCGAATTTTAACTAAGAATGGTACTGGTTTCTTTGTGGCTATGATCACGGGACAAAAGTTCCGCTTGAGTCTGTAAAATTAACTGAATATGGAACTGGCAGAAATAAATCGGAAGGTTTGAAATGCTCATGCATCGCTCTAGGTTTATCCATCGGGACTCATAAAAATGGATAGAATTCGCATTTTGTTTTGTATGAAGTCATATATATTCCATTATTTGGGTAATAAATACGCTTCAATCAAAAACTGGGTTTGTTATTTTTCCCATCCTATGATGAATAAATCTAGAGCGACCCGGGGAATTCTCACATTTATGATTAATTTTTGGTGCTTTAATAAATTGCAAACTCTTAAATTACTTGTTTAAAAGCAGGAGATATTTTTTGTCTGAAGGTCTCTTGACCATACTGACAAAGAAACCAGTCGCGTGCTCAGTTAAATGCCGGAAAAGCCTGAAAAATTATGATAGCGTAGCCCCTAGAACAATTAAGTCACAGTATAACCAAAGCAGATTTAGTCCTCTAATGTCTATATACCATCGTTTCACAGAATTTCATCTAAATCACTCGAGTAGAAGAGAAATTAAAAGTTTATAAATTAAAAGAAATGAATTTGAACACCCTGTATCTCAGAAAACGACGCTGTAAAATACATATGTTTACATGAACTTTTTGGTTCATTTTAGTGAGATCTGTCAGCTGGTATATTATACACCTAAATAAGCGTATGCAGAAATAAACGAAATTAAAAGAATTAAATACATTTGAAAATTAATAGGTAACCTTATCAACATATCGTACAGAAACGCATTCCACTGACAATCTCAATCCTTTCAAGGGTTTTCATATCTTCACGTCCAACGAACCTCTACTATTGAGTCTGTACTATATGTTTGTATGAACCTTTTCTGTTTATCTTATCAGTCCCATTTGCCTGACCAATTTATGCAGACACCCTGTACATTCAGGCATATCCTTGTACGCACAATTACCATATTTTGATGAATAATGTGGAAGCGTGTCCTCAGTTCACGGTTGTCTGGTCAATGATAATGAAGAGGGGTGCATAACTCCACAAAAGCCTGAACAAAAGGGGCCAAAACTTAATATGAAAGAAGAGCGGCTACAGAATGGCAAATGAGATTCACGTGTCAGGGAAAGATTAGGCCTTATTTCCCCCCATGACAGCGTGTAAAGTACACGCAATAAGCTCGGCAATAAGTATTCGATATGTACTCTCAACAATGACTGTCTTAGCGAAAAGCCGAACACATCAGTCAGGGAGCTTCTACGGACCGCTTAGACAAACAATAACGAATAGAGAGAATATTCGGTATAAGTATTCGATAAGTTTTTTCTGCAAATGGCTTTTTAGTTTTTGAAACTTATTGTGCTTTACTTCTCGGTACTATACGAAACTCTATTGGCTATAGCCCAGGCTAAACCTATTCAAGGAGTTCCGCCATCTTTGCAGTTGATGTTTTCATTAGTCCGCCCTACTTTATTTTAGCTCAAGGTGGCCTTTTGAAAACCTGTTACTATATGAAATTGATTATTGCTAATTCTGAGTAGTCCTTTTGTCGTTTTTAGGCATGCTCCCAAATATGTTCGCTATGACTATTTTTTTACTACAGGGTGTTGGATTTTTGGGAAAGTAATCGTTTTCATTTTTTATCCTCCAAAGTATTTTAGATATTATGATTTTTGGATTTGATGATTTCTTTTTGACAAGCTTTTCTGACAATTCTTTTTCTTAGTTACCTGAATGCCCTGGTATCGAACCTCCATTCTAAATTACTTGTTATCATTGATTAATGTGTTCTGCCTCAAAATATCCAACCATGTGTAATTATATTTCTACATTGAAATGTGACTGTCTCATAGATGACGCTATAGCCAAATATATGCTAACGCCATTTAAGAGACACTGACCTGTTCAAACTCGATTTCTAAGTCGTGCCGAGAAGAGGAGCAGCTGTGATAAATTCTTATAGATGACGCTACGGTATCTCATCTCATTTCATCACGGATAATTTTTTGGACGCGGGAATATAGAATTGGCTGGATATATTCGTCGTGAGTACGTTAATCAATGTCGTTAACCATGAATAATATGAAAAACTGACAAGTATAAGTTATCTGTTGTCAAGAATAGTACCGTGTCATAAAATCAAGAGTACGAGCTTACATATCTTGATTCTTAGCTCAGGCAATCGAAACGCAACGGGTATAGTCAAAAACGCAAAAATGCTTATCCTACTCAACGAATTATAGTAATAAGGGCTAACTAGAATGGACACTAACACTATTTGTAAAAACAATATTAATTTTCCGATAGCTATGAAAAAATATTTCTACAACATCACAAGTTAAAAATACAGAAAGATATACGCTACCTTCAGTTCCTTATCCATCGCCAGTTCGGACTTGCCGGATCCCCTAACTTTCTTCCTTTGCTTTTTCATTAATGCTGTTGTTTTTATATATGTATCCAGCCGTTGTTTGTGCTGCTGAACAAACCTTTTGCGTTCGGACTAGGAAACCAAGGTTTTCATATGAATAAAGGGCGTCTTAGATGTTTAACGAAAAGGAAATGTTCAAGGTTGAAATGGAACTTCTGCTTGTTGATATGGTAGATGACAGTAAATCACTCATCACACCGATTTCATAATTCCTCGTTCATGATGTTGTATACCATCGAAATAAATAAGCCTCTATGGCAAATATTTATTTTCTATTTGACCGACTTTCTCGTAGTCAATACATAAAAAATCCAAAAAGGAATAATGTTGTCAAACGTCTCGTAATTTTTTGAGACAGCCAAGGTAAATTTTAATTTTGAAATGTATGGACTATAGAATCTTACCTGTATAACTTTTGTGTCTTTCTCTAGATTTGTTTCCAATGGTACTAGCAAATCGACATAAAACGCCTTGAGCTGAAATAATACAAAAACATTGTATTTTCAACATATATATTGCAAAAGATGACCACTACAGTGGAAAAGTTCGTATTCAGCGATCGTATTTATGTTAAAAACTGTTTGTTGAAAATACCCATACGCATTAAGTGGAAACCTGCCCAATCGATGGTTAATACCATGGCGGTAAAAGTTTTCATGGAACCCTTCTGTCTGAAACTTCCGTCAAAAATGGGGATCCAAGTTGAAAGTGCCAACCTTTGATGTAGGTATACCAGGTGAATCAAATTCAACTCTGACCATTGGAACCTCGACAATAGTAAGATAAGCGAAAACCGTTAAATGAAGGCAAGGTTCCGCATTTGAAAAACTAAGAAAATGGCATTTAGAAAGTTTTGCAATTCCGCAGTATTTCCGGAAAGAGATAGAACAAACTGAAATTCCCAAAATCGTGTTTATTTTTTTCTGACTTTATTTGAGAAGGGATTTTAAAATAAAAAGCACATTAATGTTGCCTCTTTTTCTCCTCTACAAGATGGCACAATTAGAATTTCAATAAGATGTATCGAATGAAGAGCAACAAGGCTAAAACGTGTTCATGTCATTTGAGGGTAGTATTGAAAACATTGAAAACAGTAACTGTAACTGATACAAAGATATTTAAGTAAATATAAGCTCAAACATTCTATTCACCCATGCCAAACTCCAATATGCCGTCCATGTAAGAAAATAAATTTTATAACTGAAGACAGGAGACGAAACGTTGAAATTTGTATTATGCCATCTTGTAGATGAGAAAAAGTGGCAATGTTAATGTGCTTTTCATTTAGAAATTCCATTTGAAATAGAGCCAGGAAAAAATAAGAACGTTTTTTGGGAAAATTCAGATTTTTTCTCCCCGGAAATCCTCGACATTGCGAAACGTGCCATTTTCTTAGTTACCAAATTCGCAACTTTCTCATTAAAGCGAGATCCGAGATGAGAGTCAAATTTGAGACACCCGGTATAAGAAAAAAAAATACTGGGTGGTCTCTTAAATTCATATTTAGGTCTAGCAAAATGTTGGGTCCCAAAAGGACGCAACCATTTTTAGATTGGTAACTATTGAAATAAAAACCTGTTAGAGTATCACAAGTCGTGACCAAAAATGAAACATCATACACAGGACCCCATTTTAAGGGGGGTCTTCTATGTAACATTTTTTCGTCGAGTGCTTCATTAAAAAGAAGTTGAAGTTTAAAAATAAGAAACATTTTTTTTAATATCCTCAAAACCGTAAACTGGAATGAATTAAAATTTCATGTGTGGATTTAACTAAGTATTGTCCACATTCAAAAGTATTTACTTACCACTCAGTGGCGGTTATTTGCTATAAATAATTACTCTTGTTTTTTCTCCTAGAGTACGCTGTTTTCGTAAAAATAAAACTATAACAAATTAGATCATTCATGAAGTGCTGAGATACAATTTGTGTCAAAATAAAATAGGAGGCCTTGATACCAACTTGAAGTTTCTTGGGAGATCGTTTGTCAAAGTTTTGTGTTATACGGTTGTTATCGTTACTACGAGTACTACCATTTTTTTTTTGTAAAAGTCAAGTCAAAAGTTCTTTTTTTTACATTTTTAAGTGTTGTGAAATGGCATTTAGTAATGATGAGTACGCCGATATCATTTATGTGTACGTGTTCTGTAATGGAATTGCTTTAGCGGCTTCTCGGGAGTAGCAACGTAGATTTACTAACAGACGCCAACCTACCCCAAAGGTTTTTACGCGTTCATTTCTGGAAGTGACTAATTTAGCGTTGGGTGATCCTAGTACAAGTACTAGGCGGATTGCAGCTCAGTTACCATGTTCCCAAAGTATTGCGAGGACAATTTTAAATCGGGAAGTTTTACATCCTTACCATCGGTAAAATGTGCAATGTATGCAACCCGGCGATGAAGTGCATAATCAAAATGAAGATTTTATTGATTTGGTTTTGTGGTCAGATGAATCGCTTTTTACGAGGAGTGGAACCTTTAATTCTCATAATGAACATATCTGGTCGTTAGAAAATCCCGGTTCTGTAAGAATATATACATCTATCTGGGTTATCTTTTCCCTAACTGCAGTCTTTAACGCGTCAAGGTTATCGTACCTTCGCTTGTAAATTTGGTTCTTTAAGTAACCCCACAAGAAGTAATCAAGTGGGTTTAGATCTGGTGATCTGGGAGGCCACTGTATTGGGCCATTTGTTCCTATCCACTGATCATTAAAAGTAGTACTTAGAAAATGATAAGTACCTCTGGAGTTGTGGGCAGGTGCGCCATCTTGCTGAAAATGCAGATGATGTCCACTTATAAGATCCAATTCGTCTAAGAAATTAGTCAGAATTTCTGACATAAATTCCACATATCTTTCACCAGTTAGGGTTCCCTCATAAAAGAACGGGCCAACAATTTTTGAACCAATTATACCGCACCAAACGTTGAAACTGAAACGGACTTGTGGGCCTCTTGGATGTACTAACAAAAGATTTTCTCTTGACCAATAATGGTGGTTTTTTCTATTAAACATTCCAGAATTTGAAAAATTTGATTCATCTGTCCATAAAAGGTAACGAAAGTTATTTACATTTTGGCGACAGAAGCTAAGATACCAATGGCAAAAAACAAGTCTTCTCTCTGGATCCCCTGCCAAAAGCGTTTGAACTGGTCGGTACTTATACGGAATAAATTTGTATTTTTTAAAATCCTTTGAACAGTACCATAACTGAAATTAGAGTCCTTGAGAATATCTGCTATTGAATTCTCACGATAAGCTTCAAAATATCCAATAACTGCAATTTCCGTGGCCTCGCTTATTATGAATTCTTTTTTTGCCCTTGTTTTAGCAAAAACATTTTCGTTGCCCCTAAATTTTCGATAAAGTCTCAGAAAATATCGTTCATACGGTTGAATGCGAGCGGGATATAATTCACTGTAGTATTCTCTTGCTCTCAAGGAGGATTTTCTGCACACTAAATAGCATTCTAACATATCACACTTTTCTTCATGGGAGAACATTTTTCTTTAAATTAATGACACAATAAAGCTTATAAACCTGATAGATGGTGTTCCGTTCGCAACGAGAGTACGAATGTGGTATCAGCACGACGGTGCCCCATCACATGTTCGTCGTTGACAAAACCGCATGGTTAAATAATCATTTTAGACAACGATGGAATAGCAGAAGCGGACCCGTACATTGACCTGCGCGGTCTCCTGATTTGAACCCCCTGGATTTCTTTTTGTGGGGGGCTAATTTGTTTTTTATTTTTACGAAAACAATGCACTCTAGAAAAAACACAATAGTAATTATTTGTAGCAAATCGAAAATAATATTCGAAAAATTAAGCGGTTTGAAAAAAAACAGTGGCGTACTATTTTTATTTGGAAAACTAATGCCACTAATCCCCTGTATCTCCGCCACTGGTGCAAGTTAATTTTAAGTAAAGACTTTTGAATGTGGACAATACTTAGGTAAATGTACATACCAAATTTTAGTTCATTACAGTTGACAGTTTTGAAGATATTAAAAAAGTAGGAATATAGAAGGCCCCCTTAAAATGCGGTCTTGTGTATGATCTTTCATTTTTGGATTTGTGAATCACCCTGTATATTGTATTTCATTTTCTAACACATTTATCTCTGTGAAAAGATGTCCGTTCTTGCATCTTGTACACTATTGTATAAAATACGATCCGTCATTTCAAATAATAGACCTTCTATATGAGAGTTAAAAAGTGCTAAAACCATAAAAAACACTTTTTGAGAGGCTTTTGCCATTTGTTTTAATAGTCGTTATGGAAATAGTCATTATTGGAATCTTTATAATAATTGCGTTCAAACTCTTCACCTGTCTTTAGTTGTAGTGGAATTTTGAAATAAATTGCACATAAAAAATGCCAATTTTTCATCTCTCGTCCTCCAGCATCGTAATTTTTTCTCATGGATGCTATATTGGGTTTAAGTCTGATTCCAAAAATGTATAATTTGTCATACATTGACATTTCATCCAAACCTCAGTTATTCCAGAAAAGCAGAATTCCCTATCTAGGCTTTGAAATTATCAGTCATAAATATAGTCATTCGTATATCAGACCAAATATCAAATTAAACATAGGTAGGTACATAGTTTGGAAGAAAAAGGGAAAAATTCGAGCAGTGAACAATGTACAGAGAAGAGTCAGACTTTGCCTACACAATAACGGTCAACATTGAACATCTGCTATGGTTTAGATCTACTTATTTATTATTTTTATTATTATTAATCATCAGTAAAAATTTAATTTAATTTTTTTTATTTCGTTATAATTTTCGGTCCAACAGCAAATTAATGCTAACAGCAATTAAACTAAGGAAATACATCACTGAATTTAGGACTGAAAAGTCTATTTGAATGTATGTACAAAATTCCAATATAGCGTCCATGAGAAAAAAAGAAAGTTGGTGATAAAAGTCAAAAGAAGAAACCTCGAATTGAAAATTTGAATACGCCATCTTGTAGATGAGAGTAAGTGGCAATAACAACAAGCAATTTATTTTGAAATCATATCTCATATGAAGTCAGGAAAAAATAAAAATGATTTTGCGATGAATCTGGTATACGTAGCAAATGATTTTGTCTGCCAATGTCAATGTATGTTGTTTTGTACATTTTTGGAACCAAAATTAAAAACTCTATTTATCCGCGCAAAAATCTCATCTAACGTTCATAATAAAAAATAAAGTTGAGGCTGGAGGGCGAGAGACGATGGAGCGTCACATTGAAATTCTAATTATGCCATCGTCTAGAGGAGAAAAAGTGGCAATGTTGATGAGCAATTTATTTTGTAATCCCAGTAGAAATAAAGTCGTCAGGAAAAAATTAACACGATTTTGGTAAAATTAGTTTTTTACGTCTCTCTCCGGAGATACTTGGAATTCAAAACTTTCTAAGCGGCAATTAGTTAATTACCGAAATACGCAACTTTGCCCCTGTTTAAACGACTCCGTATCTCTTACAGTTTCCCAGATCCCAGTGGTGAGGGACGAATTTGAAAAACCCGGTAGTTGTATAAAAAGTTGACATTTTGGACCAACAACATTACTGCTCAAAATTCCTAACCTAGGACCCATGTACACTTTTTATTATCATTTGGCAGTTGACCATTTATTTCCACCGACCATCGCTTTTATGCGTGGTCCTTTAATAATAATACTTTTTTCAATTGTCGATGTACTGATTGGATGTTAAAGTTGGGAAGCTTGCGTTTATAGCAAGCGGAAAAACCGCATTTTCAATACAAATGTAAATAATAGACTACACTGTGAGCATATGTTTTTTGTGTGGCAAAAAATCTCATTTTCGCTTTCCATTCAACACTTTCTCCCTTCCGGTGACTGCAAAATGAAAAGTTCGCGTTCAAAGGGGAAATGTGTTTGAGCATCCACTTTTCGCTGTCAGTCAATCCACTGACTATTCAAACATTTTCACCGAAAGTTGTTTACACATTTGATGTATTGCTCTCAACGTTCAAGATATTTCGCGTGTGTTTGTAGAATTTCGTACCTAATTCAGATATACATGTTCTCGTAGAAGTGAATTTAGCATACTTTGCGTGTGTTTATAGGACTACATGCCTAATACAGATATGTACGCAACATTTTTAGATTTCATATTGATGCTAACAAGTAATAGAAAGTCTGTGTATGCACGATAATGTGGTAAATGCACTTACTATATTAACTTGTTGCTCTTGTATTTCTTTGTACACCTCGACGATTTTCATCAGAGCAGAACCTGAAAAATATGTTGCATAGTCATTTTTTCATCAAAATTATAAGTAAGAAAGATTTCCTTAGCCGCAGAGTAAGCCTGTCAGAATACTAGGTACCGCAGAATGCCCATCAATAATTGTTAACGGATTCAAGTTATGGAGTCCCGGAAATGTTTTGGAACCCACCATCTACCTTCTGCATACTGGAGGTCTATCAACTATAATTTATACTTTAGATTAGTCGGAAAAACATGCTTTATTGTCTACACCGGCGACTACTACTACTACAGGTCATAAATATAGCTTTACATTATAGTACCAAATATCAGAATTCTTTTGTCATATATTTTCATACTATCAAGTTCTGAATGTCCACATGAGGTCGCAGCTTCCAGTGTAGATGCCTCAAGTAGCTTGTTACTAAACTAATCACGAAAATCGTTTCCAGCCAAAAAGCATAACAGAAAAACTTTGAATGAACTGGGAAAATTGTCGCCTTCCAAATGCGCAAAGTTGTTATAATGACCTACAGAATCTGCATCCTTCGACAGATGATATTTTAGCGGATTTATGAAAACCTTGACAATTAAAGAAATCCTAAAAATGTCCCTCAGAGGCAATAAAACTTTGCGAAATTAAGATATTGCCAAAATAATGCATGAAGCCTGAAACAATTTTGATGCCATGAGTACTACTTCTATTTTAGATACGTATGTATCTAGTTGTTTTCTTCGGTTTATTCTAAATAAGAAATAACTGAGAATTGAAATTTCATGAGATTGCACCACGAATTATAGTTTTCCTTATTTTGCTATGCGTTTGGTGTACTGTGTTGAGATTTTTAAACCTAAGATAAGTAACATTAGAATAATGTTCTTACCTATATCGGAGGATCCTCCCCAAGTGTCCTGTTGAGCTTGTTGTGCCAGTTTGCCAATGGCATCGACGTATATTCTCGAAGCGGCCGCCGCATCTAAAATGTTTCACATGAAGATTTGTAATGTAATGTAATGTATTTGTATTTTATGTACCATGTAGAGCCTTCAGGTAAGCTTTTCCAGCATTGATCATTTGCCTGGCACCAGGGTTGAAGTTCTCCAAAATATTCTGAAATAAATAATTACACATATACGCTGGTAATAAGCAAAACGTATATTTTAAAATATGTCATACTAATTAGTTGTAAGGAATATCCTAGTAGCTGATTTATTTGATAGGAAATGCAGATGTATGAATTTGATATAGTTTTTTTTTCTAACACAAGAGCAAAAAATTACTAGGATGGTCTGCATTACCCCTTTAAAAAATCGTTTATTTTATGTGATATAGCATAAAATTTAGTTCTATTGAATCACTTTTGCGGAGTATATTTTGGTTGTTGTTTCTTGAATTTAACTACCATAGGGCTCAACATTTATCTAACGTCTCAGGACAATACCCTATATTCACATGGAGAGAGATCTGGAAGGGTATTCCAAACCACGAAACTCACTCAGAAATTCACTTATTATTCCTCTGCAAACCCTCTCATCTTCCTCCAAATACACTGCTCCTCCCCTCCCGTTTAAAATTTGCTGATATAAAGATAACTCTGCCGATAGGGATCGATCCACCCCCTCAATGGAAATTCTCACCCTGACAGTAGCGCACGTCTTCTTTTTACTTTTCGACGCCTACTGGCGGAGTGTTGTAACCCCCAAAAATTTCGAGAATGAGATATTATGTTTTTTGGATGTTATGTGCATCACCAAATACATTTCCGTCAGTCTGTCTGCCTGTCCGTCTGTCCGCTAATATTTGGTCTGCCTATAACTTGGAAGTACTGCTCGGATTTGGATGAAATTTTTACACAGGGATACTACTATGCCAAGGATGAAAAAGCTTGGTAGTGTGAATATCGGTCCAATGGCAACTGAGCTAGGAGCGAGAACACGAAAAAAATCTCTCAAACTTCGTTTGTTGACGTTTCAGAGGCTCTGATGATCTTCGTAGGATTTGAAAATCGAGAGTTTGGGGTGTAAATGTTGGTAGAAGGTATATTTATACACTTCCAACCTCAGTAATTTTACGGACCTATCAGTACATATTTCCCCGCGATCGGTCGGGACGATTTTACGCAACGGAGACTTCCATACGCCTAAATCAGTCTGACAGCATCGCTGGCAGGGGTGGAGTATTGGTTGACGCTTATGACGTATTTGGCTGGTGTGATCCAGCAACGTTGCCAGATGGTCGATATTTAGGTGAGGGAAGAAACTAGCGTTAACATTATAAACTGGATGGGGACAATGGAATATGTACTAATTGTATATGGGCATGTCTGGCTCACTTGACCCATTTAATTTCTTAGTTCTACATGTTTGTAGCTAGCTCAAAGGGGCCGAACATAATCCTTCATGAACCGATGGCAGCGTTGCGTGGGAAGTCCAGAGTCGACTTACTTGACGCCATTTTTTTTTCCTTACTTCCTTACATCTGGTACCAATCAACCCAACTTTGCAGGTTGGTAGGCGTTCAAAGTGCATAAATTTGTAAAAGCACTACTCTTTGTCCCAGGTTTTGTCCCAGAAAATAAATTAGATCTGGTAGGCCTAGGACCTTTGTACAGGGCGGCCGATATGTAACTGACTGGTTTGTATTTTGAATATTTGTGAAATGAAATAACATACGTCCATTTTTTTCATCTTCATCTTGTATTGAAACTTAGAAATTATGTATGAAAAATAATGTCAGACAAATGTCCACCTCTAGAAGTCACGCGAACCTGAGCCCTCTTGATTATATTTTCCATTACTTTTGGTAGTAATATTTCGGGAGTAATATTTTCAATAGCTTCCCTTATATTGTTCTTCAGCTGCTCTACATTATTTGGTTTGTTGGCATAAAAAAAGTCGGGAGCCGTGTGTCCGGTGACCTTGGTGGCCAGTTGCTTTAAACAACTACTACGACGCTACCTACTGAAATGCGTGTACCAAAAATGGTGCGCAATTTAAATAAGTCAGTTATATATTGGCCACCCTGTATGTTGATTGTAGCAATTTGTTGAAGTTTGAGAGTGTAGTGTTTTCCATCCTAATAGGCAAGGGAGTAATTGTCGTGAAATTGAGAAGTTTCCTATGTGTGTTTTGTGAATCCACATAGCATTTGGGTTAATGTCCATGGCCGAAAATTGCTTTCCGAATCTAGTTTATTTAGATGTCTCATTCGAACAACTATTAACCCTTTATAGAGGGCTTCTTATTAGTTTCAAGTAAAAATTCGCGAGAAAATCTGTGGTTATCATTATATACTAAGTGACATATAAATCCGAACACCCAGTTTAAATGGTTTTATTTCAATAAAATTTTGTATAAGTACTTAATGAAGCATAATAAGTAAATGATAAAAATTTCAAAATGATTGCACTGCTTTAAAGCCCTTTGACCTTTAATAATGTGTGGATGCACCCCGATGTGCTACGCATTCTCCAACGCGCCTAGTCATGCTTCTGATCAGGTGGTCAATGTCCTCCTGTGGTATCTCATTCCAGGCAACCACCAACATCTCTCGAAGTGCTTCTAGAGTCTGAGGACGACGTTGCAAATTGAGCAATCTCCTACCCTTCATATCCCACACGTGCTCAATTCGGGATAAGTCGGGAGATCTTGGTGGCCATGGTAACAATGTGACATCATAATGTTGAAAGAAGTCTATTGTGACTCTTGCAACATGTGGTCGGGCATTATCTTGTTGGAAAGTTGGATCTGCCAGGGTGTTAAGATAGGGTAAAAGATGGGGTTCTAGAACTTCGTGGATATAACGCTGCGCGTTCATGTTACCTCTGATGAAGATTAAAGGTGACCTGGAACCATAAGCTATAGCACCCCAAACCATAACTCCAACAGTGTGATGAACATGTCTTTCAACAAAAAACTGTGGATTCCTCCTTTCACCACGTCGCCTTCTAACCCTTGCACGACCATCGTGCATGCCTAAACAAAATCGAGACTCGTCACTAAAGACAATACTGTTCCATTCCTGATCCCAGAGTGACCGTTGTCTGCACCACTCAAGGCGATTACGTCGGTGTTCTCGAGTTAAAGGGAGGACCCAGTGTGGCCGGTATGAAAACAAGCCAAAACTTCTCATTCGTCGGTAAACACTTCGCATGCCAATAGGTCTTCCGTGTTCTGCAAACCATTCATCTGCAATGGACCTGGTAGTGGAGAAACGGTCCCTTAAGGCCAATAATCTTAGGCGGCGATCTTCACGGTCTGTTGTTCTACGGCGGCGTCCAGTGCCCCTTGCTCTTTGCGTACGGCCTTCTCGAAGCCATGCCTGACAACACCTAACCACAGTGTCTACACTTCTTTGCACTCTAACTGCAATTGCCGGAAAAGAAAGTCCAGCTTCCCGAAGTCCCACTATACGGCCCCTATCAAACTCACTAAGTTGACGAAATCGTACAGGTCTCCGTACTCTAGGCATCGTAACCGATCGTAAAGGATGTCAAGAACCAAAATCCGCCAACGTTGATTCTTTACTGCGGCTGAAATATTCATTTTTAGAGCGTTAGTGAATTAAAAAAAAGCAGTATAAAAACCGGAATGTCCAACTGATAAGGCTGAACATTTTTTCACTTGTTATTTACAGTAAGATAAATACATTCACCAACTTTTATTAAAATAAAACCATTTAAACTGGGTGTTCGGATTTATATGTCACTTAGTATATACAGGGTGACTAAGTTGAGTCATTTATTTTAACAGTGAGTAGATCTGATGAAAAGAAATGTTTTTTTCCTTTACCATTTTTCTGGTAAAATTAAAGTAACAAAATTATAGCCCTTTGGTAGTTTGAGTACCGCCCTGTCGCAATAATAATATTATGTGCTCGTGTTTGGCGACAACGGATATAATCCGCCTTATCGGTTCATCGCATCGGAAACAAAAAAGCGAAAGAATTTGGAACGATGTTTTTACAATTATTTTATTCAGTTGTATACAGTCAGTGTCAGTCGGTAACGCGTGAGTGAATAGTGGTGTCTGTTGCGTGGCTCAAACGAAATCAAAAATGGCACATGATTCTTATTTACGCGGCATCACGGATTTATTCGGATCGGTTTCCCAATCGAGTGCAACCAACCCCTCGTGCCTTTGTTAATGTAGTACAAAGGGCTCGTGAATCAGGTGACTTAAGACCTCACAGGGGAGCGCATGCCGGTGCTCCAAGACCGCACGATCAAATACAGGTCCGCACTGAAATACTTGTCGGGAGGATACTTTATAAAACAAGGTAACATTTTTTTTTATTTTTACACACATATTTTGGTTTATCTTCCTTCTACAATCATTATCTGAAAATTAATGACTCAACTTCAGTCACCCTGTATATCTAAGTAAACGCGATTTTTTGCACCTTTATTTACTCCAATTTGGAATAGCCTCAAAGTTACAGCAGAACGTTCACTTTTGCATTTAACTGACCATTATATCATATTAATCTCACCTTATAGATGCCATTGACGACCTTGATAATCTCTTCGGCCTCCATCATCTTGCTTCGGTTTTAATAACAAACACTTGAATTGAAACAGCGACTAGTCTTCCTACAAGACTGGATAAGATGCTACTCCATTTCCATGCGAACGCACTGTATAGAAAGTGCAAATCACATTTGCCTGCGCTCTGCAATTTATTCGAAGCAGCGGCTAATTGCTTGCGTACAGATGCATCGCCGATGTGATTCGATCTGAAAGAACGTAAAAAAAAATGGGTTATTAGATTTAAATGGCCTTAAGTATACGGGGCAATCAAAGATTTTATGATTATCGCTGACTGCATGTATACAGAATGAACATGAAATATGCCATATTCAGGGTGTTTCAGAAAGACTTGCCACTATCCTTAGGCTAGAAAGTACATCCAAAAATAACAAAAAAGTGCCCATAAATATGGGTCTAAAGATGCTCTCTTACAGAGATACAGGGTGTTGAAGTTTTATTTACGAAATTAAAAACATATATCTACGGGGCGGGCCTCCTTCCCTAGTATCCCCCTATAGCCCCACGGTACCCCATGGGCGTTTAGGCCTTGGGCGTTCGTGGTAGTTGCAGTATATAAAAAAAAGATGCTGAGTTACGATTTTATACGTTTAGTAAGCACATCATCAGCAATAAACGCTCAGATTCTCGACCCAAACTAAACCAGAGAAGTAGAAACTGGTGTACGTGGACCCCTAATAGGAAGTATTTTCTACGCCACTGACCTTTTCAGTGAAAAGAAGTACAATTAATTTTTCCATAAATCTCCTTAAGGAATTTTTATCAGATCACTCGACTTGAAGATAAATCTTCATCATTGCTATCTCGGTAATAAGATTTTTTTTGTTATTTTTGGATGTACTTTCTACCCTAGAAATATTGTTAGGTCTTTCCGAAACACCCTTCATTCATTGACTAAAATAAAAGGAATAACATAAATTCAAGAAATAAGTAGATTTTGTATAAGAAAACCTTGCAATTTTGACGTCAGCAATTTTTTTAGTGCTATCGTTAGATTATTGCTTCCTGATGATAAATTCAAATTGGCGACATGATAGGGCTGAAAGATTCGCCGCCATTATGAAAAACGTATTGGAACAAAAGTCTCGAAAATTATCGATCCTATGTAAAAAAAGGTAGTAGAAACAATTTTGTAGGGAATTAAGTTACATTTTGCTTCTATGAAAAATTGTCATATGGTCAACAGATTTCAACAAATTTATCGATATGGGTAAATTTTTTTGTAGAGAATACAGTTTGTTGGAGAAAGGTCTTACGTTTTTTCGACACCTTGATGGCTCTTGGAATATAAGAATGGAAAGTTGAAAATTCGTACCAAAACAGTCGCGCAACGTACTCCACGCGCCACGTACATTGTCAACGTTAGCTGCATACAACATTACTTCAAGTTCAGATCTTCAAATTAGTATTTTCGGCCGATATCGAGATTTATATTATGAGGCCGATATATTGGCGTTGTGGGCATATTGACAGCTCGTTTCTTTTCGTATACAATCGAGTGTCTTTTGGTTATTAGCGTTATTACGTAAATAACCTAAATAATGTCAAAAAAATCCGTCAAAATGTCACTTTATTGACTAGTGTGCAAATAGGTTATAAGTGAACATGAAGTGCACGACAGCTAGTTCCAAGTTAACGTCTTTTAGGGAAACCTGCATAATGTCATAAAAAACCTAGATAATTTCAAAAAGAAAACGGCAATGTCAAAAAAACCGAAGTAATGTCACCTTTCAGGTTACGTAATACCCTTGCCGGTGGGTACGTGGGCCGTAAACAAGGCTATACAACACACAATGACAAGTAGAGTTTTTTTCAATTCCCCATGAAGCACGTGGCGACTACACGTAATTGTATAATTCACAAGTACACTTACGAGTATACTTTAGGGCATATAAAAGACGATACAAACGAACTTGAACGTAAACAGCAGAGGGCTGACCGAAAAAGTCTTCTGAAATATATTTCTCAATTAGTAATGTGTAAAGTAAATCAAATTAATGTAGTGTAAAAATCATGTAACTGGTAATAGGCACAGTTGTAAAAATGTGATCTTACTTATTAATGTACTAAGAATGGCAATAAAACATCAACTTGGACAGTATCATTTTAAAGCATAATGGATAACAACCACTTACTCGGTTTGACAGCTTTCGTTTTGAAAAAAAGATAAAAACACAAAGTAACATATCGAGACTATACACATACTCGTACTACATATTTATGAACTTGCACATGCCCGACTAGTTTTTACCGTATTTGTGATAGCATAGAAATTCAAACATTTCTACAAGTAAAGTTTTGCATACACACCTTTACGTATGCAAGTCAGAACGTCTATATATTTGATGAGTTTCGGGTGCATGAAATTCAATAAGGCAATAAGAGATATTTGGAGGAAAGGGATATAGAATGTATGCGTATGTAATCCTTCATGCTTGTCTAGTCAATAAAATCACATGTATTGACAGATCTTATTTACAGAACTGTTTCAATCACAAAGGTGATCTTCAGTACAATGACAATATTTGACAATTGAATTGACTAGATTAAGAAAACTAAGGATGTGTAAGCATTTGAACGCATATAAATTTGTAGGTGCCGCAAGGTTGAAACCATTTGAAATTTAGGTTAGTAAAATCTTACACCAAAAAATTCTTAAAAAACGACATTGTATGACGAAAAAACCGAAAAATATTTAAAAAATGAGTTTTATCGCTTTTTAAAAAATGTCCAAAATGTACCTACATAGCTTTGCTGTACATGCGTCATTTGTCGTATAAACTCATTTTAGTTAGTGGTAGTTCTCTCTCAAATCTTCCTTTCACAGTCAATGAAACTGTTTTTGAGTTTTTGCGGTACCAGTGTAAGAGGTAGGCCAACAGAGTGATGCATTTTTAATGACGAAATGTATCAAATTGAAATTTTCGCATTCAAAGTACCGCATTTGCTTATACGTGGAAAATGGAATTGAAATGGTATTTTGATGCTACAATTTATTATTGCTTGCTTAAAATATTGATATTTTTCAAAAAAATAATGGTAAACAACACATACATATGGATATAGTATATTTTCAGACATTATTTTTCACTGATGCATATCTAATCGATGACGTCGGTCTATCGAAATGAACGGCCATTTCTGAATGCCCTGTATATTAATAATTAGTACATTCACCGAGAACAGATGGTATCCGTATTACTGCAGAAATAAAAGTAATGATATTAATCTTTAATATAATGATTATGAGGATAAACCATCAAGTAACTTTTACATTAAAATGGTCAGTGGCGTCTCTAGGGTAATAACTGAATTAGGTAGAGACTTCCACACCTGCAATAACTGACTTCTTGTAGTTGTGCTGGGGGATTCTTTTCCAGATTTAATTTTTCAAATTTACTCTTATTTCACCCGTTCATTACGGGCATGACATGTATACTTAGATTCGGATAAACTATTTTCGAGATCTCGTCTCGATGGTTGAAAATGTAGCACAGAAGAACACCAAGTCTGAACATTTGAATGCTCAAAGTTGTCTGTAAATCCTCTTGAATTTTTTTGACATATGATTTATGTTTTTGGTGTATGGGGTACCGGCAAATTGGACTGCCTTGTCCTTGAACGCTGTGTTTGTTAATGCCACATTGCCTATTTAACGAGACACAAGGCACGTCCGTGCGTTGACTAATCAAATTACCTTTATCTAATTAGTTTTATTCGATTTTTTACAAAAAAACTGGGTTATAGGTATAAGCTTACAGTGGACACGCTGTGTTCAATAATGCTCTTAATATCCTATTAAGTCATACGAAGGTTTTCATTTCCACATACCATGTACAGTGCAGTAAATCTGTTATGCACTTCCTATTTTTACATCTGAGGTATCAGAACATAACAATATAGTGACATAAAGCTAAGTATTACGGGTGGAAATATATATTAGAATCTACAATGTTGGCAGACATATAACACTGACTCTTAACGAATGCTACAAACTCACAACAATGTTGCCTTTTGACCAAAGACTAAATCACAGCTAACTGAATGGAAAAATGTTTGCTAAAACCTGGATCATGGATCCCTTTGCATTTTGCCGACAAAGCCATGGCAACAATCCTGCGCGGAATTCCGCATTCTTAAGATATATAAATGCTACAATGCTTTTTCGTCTGTCATGTATGTAACCTTGTATCAAATTTTCCCATAGTCCAAATGATCCTTTCCATAACAGAGTAGCCGATGATTATTCTTTTTTTTACCCTTTATTAACGAGACGGATTCTCAAAAACAGTAATTTATTTTGTTCTCGCTATAGTTGCAACTATTACCAAAATTTTATCAAGATTAGCATTACTAAGCTGCAGAGATGCCAAGGATTGCGGAAGAGGTGACAATGGCGTAACATGTACATAAGATTAAAAAAATTGAGTTAAGAAAATCGACTTAGTGCTTTCCTTGCACTCATATTTAACGTTCTTATTGAACAGACATACTTTGCGTTATCAGTGGTTAGTGAAAACTGATGAGAAAAAATGGAATTTGGGTATGTTCTGTTTTTTCTAATTAGCACCTTGACATGGTAGGAATCTTGTTTCAGTTTGCTGAAAATTAAATCGGTCTTTGCTGTGTTATATAGGGGCCAAAGATTCCCGGTCAGACAAACCGACAGTAATGAATGACATGGTACTTCGTGATATGCATGTCATGTAACATCTGATAAACATAATGTTAGGTCCAATAGACCGTCTAGACATATGTTCTAGACCGAAGTCCGCACAGATCGACGACAAATTGGAATATCTTGATTCAATTATAATTTCCCAATTACAGTAGGCACCATTTGACAAAATCGCGATTATAAAAGTTTCCTCTGCCATCCCAGATAACTAAATTCGGTTTCAATTCTCATGCACACTGTTTTTGGAGATGTTTCCCACAATTTGGAGAAAAACCTAACTAGCTACATGAAAATAACGTACTATCACCCTAGTTCTGCAATGGATTAAATACATCATAGATTTTTTTTTTAAATCATATCATTTTCAGGAAACGTGTACAAATCATATACAAATAAAAACTAATACCAAGAATCGTGAAGTAAGCATTTCTGATTTCCAGTATTTCTCAATGAAAAGGACTGCGAAATGTGCTCCAAGATTAGCGGTTAGTAGCCTATTTTCGAAAATAC